TCCCCCCCCACCCCGGCCCGCGCCGGGGCCGGGCGGGGGCAGCTCTGCCTCGCGACAAAGACCTGCTGCCGGGAGCCTGCCCCCCGCGCGCGCACGGAGCCGGGCTGCCTCTCCAGGGAGCGGGGCCAGGAGCACGATGATGGGGCTGAATGCGAGACCGCGTCTCCAGCTCTGCCTCTCCCAGGCGAGGGAAGCCGAGGGCACGCTTGGCATATGCGTGCACACACACCGCGGTAGGGACAGAGCCAGGGGTCACTTTGAATACACAGACTCATACACATCCCCATATATTTACACATACACACACATAGGGATATATGGGTCACTGAATACACACACACGTTTACATGCACAGATATAGATATCAGGGTCACTGAATGCACACACACGTGTACATGTATACATACACAGATGTAGAGGTCACTGAATTATATCCACACATTCATACATGCACTCAGATATAGGGGTCACTGAATATGTGTGCGTGTGTGTGTGTGTGGACACACACACATATATATACACATACATGCACGTGTGTGTGTATATATATATATATATATGTATATACATACACACACAAGTATACAGGGGTCACTGAATATATGTGTGTGTATCTATATATATATTATATATACACATACACACACACACACATATATACACACACACAGATACATTCACACAAGTATACACAGATACAGATATAGGGGTCACTTTGAATGTATATACACATCCACACATATACACCTACGTATATACACATACACAGATATAGATACAGGAGTCAATTTGAATAAATATATAATTTAATAAATATATACACATATATACCTATACACACATATAGAGGCTGCTTTGAATATATAATCTATACACATGTATATGCCTACATATACATGCATACACAGAGATATAGATATGGGAGTCAATTTGAATGTATATACACATATATGCACACAGAGATATAGATAGATATATAGATACATATATACTCAAAATGACCCTTTGGTTTACTTTGACTACAAATATATATTTTATATATATATAATTTAGAGCCACAGGAAAGCACGTAATGATCGATTCGACTCAGTCAAAAGGCAAATAGGCTGCCAGGTTTGTGTTCAACTGAGAGAAGTCTCCGAGGAGGATCTTGTTGTATGGGAGGCAGAGCTGCTGCCCCTCTTCCCCATTCCTCTCCCAACCCACCTTGCATCCAAAGCTGTCACCACCTAGGACTGAGGGGAAAATATATGTATAGTCAGAGTGGCCCCTTGGTTTGCTTTGCATCCCACTGGAGCCAGAGGCTCTCTCCCCCTTAATTGCAATGGCCTTTGGATCAGGCATTTTCCCTGAAAAACAGGGTTATCCATACAGGGAAGATTAGAACATGCTTTTGGGAAAACATGGGGATGGGACCATGAGTAGTCTATAACAGAAATAGTTAGCATTGTGGGAAATTATACCTGCACTTATAATAAAAATTATTTGTAAATAGAAATCTCCCGAAGTGAGGTAATTCAAAGGTAGCATTGAAGTTCTCCATACAACACACTTCACTGTGTCCTGTGTACTGCAAAATTCAATACGTGTTTTGCATATGAAGAATACTATCAAGTCAATGGTATTTTCTTTTAACAAATGTATGCCTTGGATTGCCAACACTTTTATGTTAAAAGGTGGGTGTATGTGTATATGACAATCATAAAATCACACTATAACAAAGAAACAGAAACCATATTCCAGTATGTGGTTCCAAAGATCTTATACAATTTTCAGAAGTTAGCGTGTAAATGTATCCTTTAAAGTCATGTTAGGGTGATGTACCTGTGATAATTCAGGAATTAAGGCAAGCATTTCTTTGGGTGATACCTTTTATTGGACCAGCTTTATCACTGGAAGGGAGTTAGACAAGCTTTTGAATGCAAGGCATTCTTCATTATGTGCTGGCTTTTACTGCTCAAACCTGGTGAAGAATGTCTTGCATTTGAGAACTTGTCTAACTCTAACCCTACTATGCAGCTGGTCCAATAAAAGATATCACCCTATGACATTCTTGCCTCTCCTTTAGATGCAACATTTAGATACTTAAAAAAAAGGTCTTGCTTTTCAGAGATTCTGAGAACTTGCAGCGCCCACAGATTGTAATGGAAATGTTGTGAGTGTTCAATGTCTCTGAAAATCAGGCTACTTTGCATTTAGTTTCCAAAAAACACAGGGTTTGAGAACGCTGTTAGGCACCAACATTATAAAAACATTGGTCACGCATGGTGGAGTGTCACAATGGAAAAGAAGATAACTAGAATGGTTGTGGGAGACCTGAAATGAAAAATACATTTACAGCCATTTATGTCCTGAATGGTCTGCTCTTACCTTTACAATTTGTTGCATTTGTAATATAAAAATAAATGTAGCTTACTTTAAAATATATATGTGCAAATACTCTATATATCTTTGTTCTTTGTTTCTCTGAAGTCCCATTTAAATGCTCTAATCTTTTGTGCTCTGCCACTGCCGGCCTCACCAGCCGTTTCCTATTTTGATTAGTTCTAGCATTAGACACAGATTCTGGTCTAGATCTATTACATTTTTGTACAATTTAGAATTTAGAATGCTTGTGGATACATTTGCCTTGCACTGTTTCTTACTAAATATTCTTTTGATCTGTCTAGTCTGACTGTACTGTCTACCCAAGCTGAGTAGAGGGAGGGCAGGGCAGCACCTTAGAGAGCAACTGGTTCAGAGAGGCACAAGCCTTTATAGAGAGATGCAGAATAGGTTGCTGCTTACAAAAGATGATGTCTCTGAATCTGCAATTCTATTGGCTGTGTTAGAGTGAAGTCAGTCAGAAGGCAGGGTAGATATGCACCTTTATAGACTAGCTAAATAAAATAGAGGGAGCGCGCACACAAGCTTTTGTGAACCCAAATTCACTTTACCAGATGCTGTCAAAAGATGTGCAGAAAGCAGAGTATAAGAAAGAGAGAGAAATTAGAATACAAAAGAAAGCGGGGATAGGGGGGCAGTGCTAGGAGAAACAAGCAAACAATTTTAAATTAACACAGCCCCATGTCTATGTTGGATGCACTGGATCAAAACATCTTTGAGTGATATTGTCCAACCCCCTTTTTTGTCATTGCAACATAGAGAACTACCTTAACTTAGAATAGTCCCAATGCCTGCATAGGCTATACCAGTGGTCACCAACCAGTGGATCTTGATCCACTGGTACATCTCAGAGCCTCTTGCAGTAGATCTCAGAGCCTCTTGGAATTGATCCAAGGCTGGAGTGGGGGCCGAGTGCCCATGTGCATGCATGCGCACATCCCAGCCCAGCAGGTCAGTCCATGGGGGAGGGAAGAGCTGAGGGCTAGATTGAGGCCCCAATGCTGAAGGACAGTGCTGCAGAG